GCACGGACCATGCCGCACGCGTGAAAGGTAGATGGTGAAGCAAGGCGGCCAAATACAGCAACTCACGCGCACAGTTTCTCTGTAAATCAGCCAGAGCCAGCACTGGAGTCGGTGCCAAGAGCTGGCCGACTGGCTCCCGCTGCCTCAAGCTGGCGCAGCAGCGACGCTATTCTGCGCAGCGCACGGCACGAGAGTCATCGCCGTGCATACTCATTTCCAGGAAGGGGGAGGCTCCGCTGAGGAAGAAGAGGCCGCCTCCTGATCGCCACCAGATCTGACACATACTGCAGCTCATCGGCGCTTGAGGTGATTACCCCTCAAGACCACGCTCCATGAACACCTTCGCCCCTAAACGCAATGTTGGGGCAAGAGCTTGCATTCAGGGCGGGGGCCTCACATTGCAGCCTCTGGCCTTGACACGAACCATTCTGCGCCCCAGGGCCTGCGAAAGGGCAGGAGCGTCGAGGCGTCGAACCCAGATCCCAGGACCACCTCGGCACACTCCCTCGGCCAGTTTTGACACGGAACGCGAGCCATGGAACCATCGAGAGCATTGCCAAATAGAGCCCGACCAACAACAGACGTGTCCATTGCGGGTCGGGCGATGCGCCCCGACATGAGGGGGAGGCACAGGAATCTTCAGCAGATTCGGGTCCGACTCGAATACGATACGACACGACCACCGCTGCGGACACCGTCCGGGCCTAGCTAACACCAGGCGGGCAAGGCCGTGGTCCCAGAAAAAAGGCGTGTCTGGACAACATGCGATACGAGGCACATATATAAAACAAATCATGAAAGGGGAGGGGGGGGGGGCGGTCCTGAAGGTCGATGCCGGCGTGCTGCTCGGTATGCTCGTGCGTGTCGGTGTGGGAAAGGAGGGAGGGAGGGAGGCAGAAAAAACCTTGGTGTCGGTGTCGGCGCGGGTAGGGCGTGTCGTCCCGACATTTGCTCGGAGTTCATGTGACTGGTCTTGGTCCTGTGTGCTTGCTGGTGCGGGGTCGGTGAAATTATGCTCGGGCGCCGTCCATGTTTCGGTGCCCTGGGCCTATCGCATACATGCGATGTCGTTTGGTTCACCTTACGAATGTGAGTGTGTGTGTGTGAATGTGTATGTCCGTGCGTGCGTGCGTGCGTGCTTGCGTGTGTGTATGTGTGTGTGTGTGGACGGTCGGTGGGGGTCTGGTCTGTGCTGGCACAAGTAAGTGCTAACTTCGTCGTCCCAACGCGTGTGTTGGCGACCGTGCTGCCTGTCCCCGTCGGCGCGGGTTGAGGTCTGGTTGCCATTGCAGCACCCGCCATGTCCACCGTGTGCGGTCGTGGCTTGCGACCCTCAAAGCCATGCGCCATGCTTTTCGCTGGAACCCAATTGTCGATGCGATGTTTTTTTTCTGAGGTGTTCCGCGCGCCGTGTCGCTCTGCGCTCCGTGTCGCTTGCTCTGCGCGCCGTGTCGCCGTGGCTCCACCGTGTCTACTGTGGTCCTGTCTTCGCCGCTCTCGCTGTGCACGTCAGGCGCGACAGGAGTGTCGCGCTGGAGTGGGTTGCTGTCTGCGTCGTCGTCGTCGCCAGTGCTATTGGTGCAGTGGACGTTGTCTGGTGTTTCGTTTTTTGTTCGACAACAGTGGGCCCTCGGCTGCTGTAAGAGTATGATTGTGTTGTTGTGCGTCGCTTCTGCTGTCCGATGATCATACGAAACATGCGTCGCTGCGTCCGCCGTAAGTGCTGCCGCAAGGCTTCCGCGAGTGCCCAAGTCGCTGGACGGTATAACGATGTCGGGTTCACTGTGCTGTTGAAAAGTCGGAGTCGGCGAGCCAGTGGGTAGCGGCCGCTGGTCAGCTCCTGTTTGCGAGAGGCGAACGACGCCCATGCCGCCTTCGCGGGGTGCTGACTTTCCGTGTCCATCGGCTCGTGGAAGCCGATGAACTGGCCGAAGTCTGCTAGGCTGCCCTCGTACGGGACAATTTCTGTATACATGTCGTGAACGCGTGCTGTGCGTGAACTCGCCCTTCCAGTCCTTCTCGCCCGGTCGCTGAGCACATGGTTGTGCGTGGATGTAGTTCGAGCCCGCGCAGCCTTGCCGCGCGCGCGACGTCATCGAGCACCGTGGCCAGACGCGGGAGAGTGGGCTGGCCAGGAGCACGTCGTCGGCGAACCGCAGGTTCGCGAGCGCGGCGGTTCTCGCGACCCCTTTATTCGACACTCTTCTTTTTCCGCTGCCATTCGGAGGCCAGCGGTCCAAGGGCGCGCCGTAGTTTGAAAGTAAAAGCTGAGCGGGTCGCCCTGTTTCGTGGCCCGCTGAATGTTGAAGGGTCCTGTTGCTGACGTCTGTCTTCACCGCACCTGTCTGTCCCTCGCAGAACCACTGAAACAATGCAACGTACGCGGTTTCGACGCTTTGTTCCGTCAGCGCTGCCCATATGCTCTCGTGCTCAACTGATTCCATTGCCCTTTTGAAACCGAGTGTTGCGACCCATAGGTTTCGCCTCATTCGTTTGTTCGCTCGCGTAGCAGATGGCAGGCGAAGAGGTGGCCGGTGGTCGAGTGGCCTGGTCTGAAGCCCACCTGGTCGACTGTCTGGTGAAAGTAAAGTACTGATTGGAGCCTGTTGCATAGCAGTCGGCTGAATAGCATGCGCAACAATTGCATCGCGCAAATGGGCCACTATTCCCCACCCTCCTGTGTTGAATGCTCGTTTTGAAGAGAGCACTGTGGTCTCCACCTCCTCCTCCTCCTCCTCCTCCTCCTCCTCCTCCTCCTCCTCTTCCTCCTCCTCCTCCTCCTCCTCCCCCTCCAACCTCCTCCTTCCACTCTCCGCCTCCTCGTTTGCTTCCTCCTCCTCCCTGCCTCGCGACCTCGCCGTCCCCCGGGGGGCTGCGATCTGCCGAACTGTCGCCACTTTCGCGGGATCCTGGGAGGCCAAGCGGAGGCGCGTCGTTCGCAGGTCACCACGAGACCTCGCCGTCCCCTGGGGAGCTCCGATCTGCGAAATTGTCGCCACTTTCGCGGGCTCCTGGGAGGTCCAGCGGAGGGGTGTCCCACGGGGATCACCATGGGACCTCGCCGTCCCTGGGAGGGACCTCGCTGCGCCGTTTCATCGCAGATCGCAAAGGGATGAGGCGCCACGGAGCGCATGGCGCCATCGTGGCCCATGCCGCATCGACTCTTCAAATGCCTTGGCGCCCGCCATACACTCGGGCACATGCAGCGCTTAGCGCAGAGCGCTGTTCTGTCATGGCGCGCATGGCGCCGTTCTGCAATGAGAACCTAGCGCGACGCGCGGATACTCCCACGAAGCACGTCTCCAATTCCCCCTCGTCAGCATGTTTCCACGCCCGCTCGCGGTCGCCTTCCTGCCAACGGTCTGACTCTTAAGGGCGACGCCGCGAATGCGAGGCATGTGACTCTGGCCCAACGTACGGCGGATCATTCAGTGCTTGCTCTTGCATTGAGCGGCCCGATGCATAGTCGCCTCATGCGCAGAAAGGCTTGGGACCGTCCCCGGGTAGTATTCTTTGGAAGAGTGAGATCTCCACTTTTCGGCGCGAATGCGGCGACTCCGCTCTCCCAGCTGGCCGGCGGCGGGGCTTGGCGCTGCAGAGTCGCGTTATGGGGGTGGAGGAGTGCACATCTGAGCCCCTGCACACCCCGTTAAACATTTCTGCGCGGAGGCCTTTCGTGTCTGGGGCTTCGTCAAGCCAGAGACCTTTGATCGCCTTGCTTAGCTCTGTCAGTGTGAATGGTGGGAGTGAGTGGGCGCGCTGGTCGCTGGTCGGCGGCAGGTCTGCATGTCTGCTGGTCGGCAGTCGGTGGTCGGTCTGCTGGTCTGCTGGTCGGTCGGTCGATCGGGCGCACGGTCTGCCGGTCTGCTGGTCTGTGATCGGTGAGGTCGTTGTTCGGTGGCTGTGGTAGTCAGTGGGTCTGCTGGTCGTCTGTTGGTAGTCGGTCTGCTGATCCGCTGGTCGGCGGTCGGTGGTCGGTCTGCAGGTCAGCTGGCCGGTCGGCCAGTCTGGCGTTCGATCTGCTGGTCTGCCAGTCTGCCAATCGGTGGTTGGTGAGGTCGTCGCTTGGAAGCTGTGGTAATCGGTGGGTCTGCTAGTCGGCGGTCGGACGTCGGTCTGCCGGTCTGCTGGTCGGCGGTCGGTGGTCGACCTGCTGGTCAGCTGGTCGGTCGGCCAGTCTGGCGTTCGGCCTGCTGATCTGCTGGTCTGCTGGTTGGTCTGCTGGTCGGTCTGCTGGTCGATCTGCTGTTCGGTGATCGGTGAGTTCGTCGCTCGGTCACTCCAGCTGCTATGCCTCTGCCGTCGAGTTGCGCAATTGCTCGTAGCACTCCGCGAAAACGCTTGCGATTTCTTGTCGCGCCGCGCATGTGGTGCCCTCTTCGTCCGTCACGTGGCCGACTCGAACTTCGGTCAACAGGGTCACGGTCTGACGGGCCACTGCCTGGGCAACTCGACGCTGCTTGTCAACGGCCCCCGCAGCCTTCCGATCAAACTCGAGGCGAATGTCAAACGCGCTTCAAGGGCGCATCCACGGCGCTCTTACCTGCGCGAGAATATCGCGCCCTGCCACCGTCGCCCTCTGCCTGGGCCCGACGGGCGCGAACCCGAAACTCCCCGCTGGCGCGACCGGGCTCGACAGAACTGGACAAAGCCAGCACGAGCGCGCCTCGGCTAACTTTCAGACTCAAAAAGAAGCAAGCGAAAGACAACGCGACTTTGTTTAGAAAATGCACACACATGCTAAGGGCTGCTCCTGTGTTCTACAAAATCATGTGTTCGTGAATATGTTGTCTTGTCTCGTTTCAGTTATGTTGCCTGTCTCGTGGGCCCCGTGTCCGTTGTCCGAATGATTTGAATGTTCGTCCACATCACAATGCGCTGCGTTTTCGTTGGCATCCTTCGCTATGGACCGCAGAAATGGCCTGTGCTTGCGGACCGCAGCAAGGGTCCACATTTTTTTGTCGGCGCGTTACACAGCAATTCCCTTTGTGGCCGATTACAAAAAGATGCCTCCAAAAAAAAGCTGCACGAAGTGTTGCGCAGTATCTTCGTAGCATTTGATGTGACGCATCAATCAAGACGCCGGAATAGGGAACACCTTCTGCTCGGGAGGGGCTCCCAGTTCAGAGCCGCTCACGGGGTCAATGTTGGGGAACCTTTGGTGGGGCAATCGCGGCGATAGCGTTGATGGCATCAGTGGCGCCGCCTGCGAACGGGCGACAACTCCCACCACCGCCAGGACTGACACGACTACAAAGCTGCATCTCTAGTATTATCATGAGACACCCACCGTCTTCTTTGGCAGTCACATCGCCGCGTCCAGGACTAGTAAATACACGGCCACCATCGCCACCATCAGTGTAACTTCCAGGCACTACCACCTTCACCACCTCCCCTGGAGGCAGCGACATTCACGACCATCTCAGTCATGAGCATGACCAGCGCGACCACCACCTGAACTGGCACCGCCGTCAAAACCCGTTCTACTTCAGGATGCGCGATCCAAGCCCTGCCCCGTCATGTTGTCTCACGTTGTCCTGCCCCGCTTCGTGGGCCACCGCCACCGCCGTCACAAACTGCACCGCTGCCAACACCTGTGCCGTCATCGTCACGGCCACCTGGCATATTGATGACCATGGCACTGGAGATGATGATGGGGTGGCGGTCCAGGTGGTGGCGGTGATACTGGCTGTCCGAGTGTTGGTGCAAATTGTGGTGGCCGTGGCGGTGGTAGCAATTATGGAAGGAGTACGGTTGGTTCCGAATGGCAGCCACTATGGTGGTGATTGTTCTGGTGGTCCGATGATGTTGCTGCCGATGGTGATGGCGATGGTGGTGTTGTGGCGCAGGTGATCTAGCTGGTAATTGCGACTGTGGCGACAATGGCGGCGGTGATGTGTTGGGTTTAATGGCGATGGCGCTGAACGTGCACGGCACGCACGAAAACGGGATCGAAACCGATGTCCCTGTGGGGGGCTATCCGTTCCACGTCGATGTCACCCCCCAACCTCCGATGGTCAATATGATTATTGAGATTAGCATTCACATGTGTATTCGTAGTACTACTCGTCGTAGGAATATTACGATGACTATTTTTGCTAATAAGTAAAGAATGTTGCTTAGTGCTTAGTAGTAATAGCATTATTAGTTCTACTAGCATCCTTATGACTAGTACTATCAGTTGTACTGTTATTCTTGGTGTTTTCATACACGTATACAGTATTAATACCATTGGTGTTCTGATGATGAGTACTAGCACTGGTAATACTAACAATGGTTAACAGTAGTAGCATTCGCATCAGTGTGCGTATTATGATTACTAATGCGAATCGTGTTACCATTGGAAACATGACTAGTATTAACTTTGTGAACATAGCATTAAATAATCAATCGTATTATCTACAAGTCGTGATAGTAGTAGTAGTAGTCGTAGTAGCAGTAGTAGTAGTAGTCGTAGTATTATTAATAGTAGCAGTAGTAGTGGTAGTAGTAATAGTGGTAGTCGTAGTAGTAGTAGTAGTAATAGTACTAGTAGTAGTAGTAGTAGTAGTAGTAGTAGCAGTAGTAGTAGTAGTAGTCGTAGTAGTAGTAGTAGTAGTAGTAGCAGTAGTAGTAGTAGAAGTCGTAGTAGTAATAGTAATAGTAATAGTAGTAGCCGTAGTAGTAGTAGTAGTAGTTGTTGTTGTAATAGTACTAGCCGTAGTAGTAGTAGTAGTAGTAGTAGTAGTAGTAGCAGTAGTAGTCGTAGTAGTGGTAGGTAGTAGTAGGTAGTAGGTAGGTAGGTAGGTAGGTAGGTAGGTAGGTAGGTATGTGGGTAGGTAGGTAGGTAGGTAGGCAGGCAGGTAGTTAGTAGTAGTAGCAGTAGTAGTAGTAGTAGTAGTAGTAGTAGTAATAGTAGTAGTAGTAGTAGTAGTGGTAGTGGTAGTAGTGGTAGTAGTAGTTAGTAGTAGTAGTAGTAGTAGTAGTAGTAGTAGTAGTAGTAGTAAGTAGTAGTAGTAGTAGTAGTAGTAGTTAGTAGTAGTAGTAGTAGTAGTAGTAGTAGTAGTAGTAGTAGTAGTAGTAGTAGTAGTAGTAGTAGTAGTAGTAGTAGTAGTAGTAGTAGTAGTAGTAGTAGTAGTAGTACGTAGTAGTAGTAGTAGTAGTAGTAGTAGTAGTAGTAGTAGTAGTAGTAGTAGTAGTAGTAGTATAGTAGTAGTAGTAGTAGTAGTAGTACTAGGCGTCGTCGTAGCAGTAGTAATCATCGTCCTCGTCGTCGTTGTCGTCGTCGCCGTCGTCGCCGCCGTATTGTTATTGTACGTACTGCTTCTTTTTCGTATTGTTATGATGTGTTGTGTTCCCCTTCCTCCCCCGTCATCCTCACCCCCTTCCCCCTTTTCATCCCTCGTGTTCATTACTTCCGCTCCCCACCCCTGGGCGAAGACGACGAGGAGGCGTCGGCGGCGCCGCCTCCCCCTCGCTCTCTGGGCTGGCCTGGCTGGCGACCTCGGCGGTCAGGACATCCTGCCGCGGCGGGGGAGGGAAGGGGGGCGACGGAAGGAATGGGGAGAGGGCGGGGAGGCGGCGGGAAAGGGGGGGGGGGAAAGGGGGGGTTGGAAATGGACTGGGAAAGGGAAGGCGATGGAGGGAAGCGGAGCCGGGGGACGCGAGGGGAAAGGACAGGGGAGCGGAGAGATGGTGAGGGAGGGGGGGGAGTGGCCAGAGAGATGTGGGCGGGATCTGCGAGAAGTGGGGAAGAGGAAGAGCAACCAGAGGGGCAGTGGAGAAAGTGAGGTGAAAAGGGAGGGGAGTAGGCGAACTCGCGCCATGTCTTACACCCAATCCCTTCAACCCATTCCTATCCCTGCCCAGTGCGCCCGACCCTTTTTCTATCCGAGCGGGGTGCCCTAGAGGACCTTGATCCCGAAATGGAAGTTGCAGGATTTGACCCTTCGTTTGCTGTGCGATCAGATCGGGGGGGGGGCGCGTGAACACTGGAGACAGAGCCTACGCCTCGAGGGGAACTCATCAGTCGGCTCGCCTCAGCCTAAGCCGCAATGACCGCGCCGCCCGCGGCCCAAGCGGAACGACCTCTCAGGGGTGAGTCGAGCGCCTCGATCTGCTCCCCGCCGCTGGAAAATCGCCATCACAGCCGTCGTCCGACGTGGCGGAGACGGCGACGGTGAAGCCGTCAGAGAGTGCAAGAACTACGGCAGACGCCGCATCCTGCACAAACTCGTCGAAAATGCGATCGCCCTCAGCAAGTCAAAACTTCTGCACTGATAACTCGAAGAATACGGGAACATAAAATCAAAAGCTGAGATAATTTCTTGCAGCTCAGCATTCATACCCGTCTTCGTTATCTCCAGCCAGACGATGCGCACGCGCTGGTTGAACTGGTCCGAAGGAGGTAGAGCTCATGGCACAGCCCCAGATTCGTTCGGGAACGGCGGGGGAAAGGGGCGGAGCATCACAGTCAGGAAGACCAGGAAGTGCATCTTGTCCATTACGAGGCGAGGTGGAAGCAACGCGCGGGCCAGAAGAATGCGAAGGACCCTGAAGTACCAATTCAAAGCCCGTGAGATGACGGGGATCGCCGAGATCCGCAGCCGTCATGGCGTCGTACCCGCCGAAAGAAGCGCTTGATCATTGCGGCTCAGCTCGTCCGTCTGCCTTGGACCGATGTGATCGCGAAGGCAAGGACACCCGTCCCCACGAACGCGAACTTGGGCAAAATCACCGCGCTCACCGCCGTCAGGGTCGTTGAACTGCTCGGAAGACGAGCTCGCCGCATCAATGTCCGCGCGCCCCACCCCATCACCACTCGGGGTGCCAATGCCGTGAGCAGCGCCCTGCGCCAAAGCAAGAGCGCCCGCGCACTGGTCCATCAGGTCCACCAGGAAGTCGAAATCGCCTGCATTGCAGGTTTGCACCAAAAGATCCGCATGCAGATCCGGCATATCCGCCAACGAGGAATCGTCACTCGGGTCGGCCTGGACCGCCGCCATCAGCCGATTAACGGGACCATCCTGAGCCACGCGCGAGCTGCGGTTAACAAAGAAGCCAGAAAAGGGAGGCCCACCTTCGTCGCCCCCGCCCGCGCGAGCGCCAGCCGCAGGCCGGAAAGGAGCACCGCCGCGACTTCCATTTGAGGGTCCGCCATCCTCCGCGCCAGTGGGGCTCAGATCAATGGGCGACGCAGTGGAAGGAACGCCGACTGCAAGCGGTCAAGCTGGGTCAGTAGAGCTACCTGATGGCCTGGACGCGGCGCCGCGGTCGCAGTGACAGCGCGCACGTTCCCCGACCCACTGTTGTTGAAATGGTCATCGTCCTCCTAATCAAACATAGCATTGTCTGCGCAGTGCGCGGGGGGCGGGCGACCTCCTGCGCCGCCGCCAGCAAGCTCTGCCATAGCTTCGAGGTCGGCCCCGGCAAGGGGCGGGGCCCCTGGCGCGCCGAACCCGCGGCGCCGCCAGAGAGGAGACGCCGGCGGGGAGCGAGGAGACGAGCTGCGCGAGCAAGGGACACAGCGCATGTCATGCGGGTCGATGGCCATTTTTCCCATGTCGCGCGGCGCTTCAAGAACAGCACGGAGCCTGGGCAATGCGTCGCCAGGGCGGGGAAGAGCGAGCCCGCGCGCTGTGCGCCTGCGACAGCAAGGGCGGCGGTCCACAGGAATCCTTGACGGACCAGGAACCCGCTGCAATCTGGCAACATGGGCCAGTGCGCTCTGCCTGGCGCCTCGCCAGCCGAATCAGCTGAGGGGGCCCATGCCGGGCGGCTCAGCGACCAGACGACGCCGTTGCTGCCCGCGGCAGATGGGAGATATACACACCACGCTTCAGGACATATGTCTTCAGCAACCCGCTTGCGCCTGTCATCGCCGCGCATGGAAGGCGCACCTGCAGGCGGCATAAACTGTTGATATCACACTAGCAAGTAGACGCCATCAACGCACCAGTCCAAGAAAACGTGGAAGTCGTCGACCTGTTCGGCATAGTAGGTAGAAAGAAGCCGCGAAGCTGCCCGCGCAGTAGCACGGTCAGCGAGTTCCCTCCGAGACCGCTGTGCTCGCGGGCGTCAGCGGCCAGACTAACGTGGGCCGCGGACCACGAGGAGCCCTAGTCCTCTGCGCCTTCCTCTCCTCCCTCCTCCTCCTCCTCCTCCTCCTCCTCCAGTTCAGCAGAATAGGCGAATTCTGTCGTAACCAGCCCGCCCTGGGAAAAGCGGCCGAAGCGTCGCAACCCAGATTTTGCCGAGGCCGCCCTCCGCCTCGTCCTCTTCCTCCCCTCCTCCTCCTCCTCCTCCTCCTCCTCCTCCTCCTCCTCCTCCTCCTCTGACGCTGCTCAGCCCGCATTTTTCGGCATGCTGCGCCCATGCATTTGTTCGATCTCATCTTATTGTTTCAGAAGAGCTGTCGACGCGCATTTGGCGCGTCGTGGCCTCCTCGTTTGGAGTTGGCCGTGGTGGGCGATCGACGGCTCTCGTGCTCTTTGCGGGAAGGCTTTGTGTCGAACTGTGTTGCGGGAGCGATAGAAGCTGTCGTCGCGCGTCTGGCCTTGACGATGGGCGCCGTCAAAGCCCCCTTGAGGGGATGCGGATTCAATACTACATCATCAGCTGTCTTACGCTGCGGCGCAGCTTTGCCGTCGCGATTCGCTGGCCGAGGGCTGCTCGAGGCAGACGGCCAGTCTCCTGGTGCATCGGTGGGATCATTGAGTCGGGTCTGTCACTCTACACTCCAGGCTCGCCGACATGGATCGCCATCGCCTGAGCTTCTCGCAACCTCCAGGAACTTCCTCGACGAATGTCAATTGTGCGCATCCGACGCGCGGCCAAGAAAAACGCCCGCAGGCTGCCCTCCTCGAAGCGCGAGTCCACGTCGACAGATCTGACTGGAAGCCTCGTCGCCACCGCTCGGCGCGAAGGGCGGCAGTCCAAGTTCAGGCGGATGGTCGCCGCCAGCGGCATGAGCACTGGGAGGAGGTTGAGACCCAAGATGCGGCGTCCTCGGCGACGCAAGCACGGGGCACGGGCGCTTTCGACGGGCCAGGCAGACCCCTGACATGCAGGCGGTTGCCCCTCGCAGGCAAGGCTTGGTAGCGGAGGTGCGCTGCGCGCTGCCAGGGCCCAGGGCAAAGGTTGGTCACTGCTTCCATGAATCGTCTGCGCGGCATAGCGTCGCGCGCCCAGATGGCCTCGCAAAACTCACCTGCACTGCGCGCTTCCACGGCGAATCGCGAACGGTCGCGGGCATGTATAAAACTCTGGACCACCGCTGGGCGAGGCGCGGGAAGTCGAGGACAATCACCAAATAAGCAATGCACCACTCGATTCAATCATCACTGTGCAGTCAGACCTCGGCCTCTGTTATGAGGAACGATTGCTCCGCGCACCCCTCCACGCGGCTCAGCGCCCCCACCGCTTCCGCAGCTCCTCGGCCACCCACGATTGCCAGCGGCAGTGCGCCGCGAGCACGCAAGGCGGGAGGCGCGACTGGAGATGGGGAAACCACGCCACGAGCATCTCCACCGCGAAGTAGCCCGTCAGTTCGAGAGAGTAGATGAGCAGCTCGAGCGTCAAAAGCTTCCTTGTTGTAGGCAACAACGTCGGCAGCGACCGCCGCAAGAGTAGTAGCAAGACGCACTCTGCATTGCTCCGATAACCACCGCGCGCAAAACGATGTTCTCAGCCACTGAGAGTCCGCGAGGACATGGAACCCCAGGAGGTCAGAGTGTGAGACGACAGAGTTCAACATCCTGTGCCTCGGCAAGATTTGGAGTCGACCATTCCCACCACCACTCCAAATCACCCTCGCCCTACGCCAAGTCGAGCAACTTAGGCATCGCATCGGCTGCCCATCTGGGGGGGGGTGGGCGAGAGGGGCCGCGCCTGAGATGGCGGCAAACACTCGGGGGCCCCGCATCCTGCGCCAGCGCGCCAGGGGGAAAGCCGCCTAGAGGGCGCCAAGAATTGAACCGATCAAACAAGACTTGATGCCGCGCTAGCTCGTTCGCCCAAACTCCAGGAATCATAAATGGCAGCGCCCCGTGAACAGCCCCCCCCCCTCGGCCTTTTTGAAGAGCGCGACAGCAATGATCGCCGGGAGGCCGGCGTAGGAGTCGTTGTCTGCTATGGAGAAGACGCGGTCGTACTGTGCACGACGCAGCCGGGCCCTGGTGAATGGGGTGCACAATTCCAACCATGGGTCACGGTCGATGGAGCACTCATCCTGCCGAAGGGCCCTGGGAACCCAATTCGCCGGCCTGACGGGCGGGCAGCCCTCTCAGGTGCGCAGAGCCCCGACAGTCAGGTTCTTCAGCGCAGGGACAGGGAACACGAATCATTTCTGGTAGCGCTTGCGTTGGTGGCGGACGAGCCAGCTGGCGCCTCTGCCCGGGTCTGGCTCGGATTCTGGAACCGCCAACACCCGAAGCTCCAGAGCACCACGCCTCCGTCAAGACCCACCTCAAGAAAGGGTCAGCAGGTAAATGCGCCCTCCCTCTAGACTTTGCCGTCGAGAT